ATGCTCACACTGGATCTGATTGCTTTAAATAAATCCACGAATGAAGAAATAGCGTCATCAGACGTTGGATATGTAGACAAACATTTGGTTTCATGAATTGCATACCGCACGAACTTGAAAATCACAGTCAGGAAATTTTCTCGTCGCGAAACATCGATATGTAATTTTAGTACCAGTACTTACTGCTTCAGTTCGAAATTTAGTAACTGAGTTTTGTTTAATGAATAAGTCAAAATGGTCTTTGTTTAAGAAAGTACTTTCATAATTTCACGAGCTACGCGTTGTGTTTAGTTTTTGTTGAGTGAAACAACAATGATGTTAAACGCAGAAGGATTACATGTGCGTCTGTACAATGACCATTACAATTTTTCATGTGCACGATACAGCTTGATGTGAACGGACCGTTAACATTTCAGTTTATTTAGACTTATTTTCCTTTTCCTAGAAATACCGCTCACATTTCCGTAACCGTTAACAAAACAGTGAAAACATTTTTTTTTAAAGGAAAAATAGCAACCGTTAACAAAAAAATGTCCATCCGAGAATGATGGGCCGAAATGGCATCGAATATAGCGACAGGCTTATTTTTTTATTGTCTTATAACTTATGCAAGCATTCCTACAGAAACGAAGTACTTAAAGGGTAATGTTCTTCATACCCTAAGCAGAACGGTTCTTCCACTTTAGTCGAGAAATTTGAAAGAACTTAAAAATAAAAAATTTTGAGCTGTAAAATTTACATAAATTTCATTTATTTCTAAATTTCTCCACGAAAATGGAAGCACTGTTCCGCGTAGGGTATGTGGAGCATTACCCTAAACAACTGCATCGAGAATTTCTCTTCAAAGTACTTCGTTTCTGTGGAAATGTTTACATAAGCTTCAGAAAACTACTTTAGGGACTAGAACTTTCATTATAAGGAGTAGAATGAAAAAATGTTTATTTTCCCACACACCGCTGGTTCAATTCCCAACCAAGTGATCAATAAAGCTATGTAAAAACAGGGGCTTGTTTGCAACATGCAAAGCCTACAATAACGGTTAATATTCCTACATTTGCAGCAGCAATTTGCTTTCAGATAAACGTAAAACTAGAGCTCTGTGAGCACGACAGCGGATGCCCTTCCACGACAGTTCATACACTAGTTAATCAGACCACCGTTATTTTATTGTTGTGTCCTTTTCTCTTATCCATTCTGATACTCGATTCCTATTGGTTGTCGCTATCGTCGCTTTTTGCAGAGAAGGTGCCACGCTACTCAGTCAATCCTAGGTATAGTAAGAAAGCAGCACATGAAGAGCTGCTTGTGGAGAAAGCGATTGATCAAGTTTTCTTGCTCTTCCTTTCTGCTTGTTCACTTCTTTTTTTCGAAATTACGGAAGTTTTCTCGCTTTTTAAAAAATTGATTTCATTTCCATTTCCGAGGCATCTCTGATAAGTGCCTTCGTTAGGTATACTTCTTAATTTGAGTTTAAAACGTATTCTGCAGTTTCCCAAATGGGTGTGCGATCCAATATCTATTGCGCACAATGGGAAAAATCTCTTTGTTTATTTTCTCTTCAGCTGGAAAAAATTGTTGCGCTTGTGTAAGAACATGCTTTTCCTACCATCATCTCCTCTATAAAATTCAGAGTCATGATCATGCCTCAGCTTCTAGAACTACTTCTTGTTTCTGTTAAAATATCGGTTTAATTATCTGTGCAAGTACGTAACTGACAACCCAAGGACAAAAAAATGATGGTGATCGGGCACATCAGCAGAGATCACCTCGATTACTGTCCTATTCCGTACGTTAGCTAAACTAATTTTGATGGTTGACAGAACTATTCATCTGGACCAAAAAAGCAAGCGTCACACTTTCAGAGAACATTGGAAATCAATAGGGTTTCTGAGGGGCCTCTTGACTGGATCCTCATATTTTCTCTCTTAGCGGATCAATTGATACAGATCACATTCTGATCTGGGTCAATGCATTTAGCAATAACCCTATCGATGCATCTGTGACGGACCTATTAAACTAGACCGCTTATTCTTACATTCATAGCAGCAGACCAGCAGGCCTGTCATATGGTCTGCTGATACAGATGCACATAAAAATGCACATAAATTGTATTTTTCTCAGATAATATCAATTGAGTAAAAGAGCTCACGATGTATTTGGATAGATCTTGTCGACTTCTACATGTAAGCTAGGTAAGTAAGCTGGTATTTTGACACAACACTTTTCATTTGTTAAAAGGTACACTCGCCGCAAGAAACGATTTGACTTGCTTATACAAAAGAATACCAGACACAATTTTTGAAAGGTAAAAGTTATATGGAAACGTTTTTAGTAACAACAACTTATGCACAATCATTCGTTTATCCCAATGCAACGTGGAATACAAAATTATATAATTCTTAAGGCTTTTCTTTTGTGATTACTGTTGGAGCTTTAGAGAAATGGTTTTCATTCAGAAATATTTTTGTATTGGTTTATTTTTTATTGCCCATTTCTATGCTGAATAAAATGTACAATATTTTTTAGTAACTACGTCAAAGGCTTCCAACAAAATGATCATAACTCTATCAGAAAACATGGTGAAGAGCTGGGAGACATCTCATTTTGTAGCGAAATGTTTACTTTACGAAAAAATAGCTTTTTCCAGCGTAAAGTAACAAACTTTAAAAAATTCATATCTCCTCAACGGAAGGTCTTGAAAAGCTGGAAGTGGTCTTATCTTGTAGAGAACACTTTACGCTATAATGCACAACATTTAACTCAAAAATAAATAAATTTTTTAAAAGAGTCTAAAAAGAGAGGGGTTACCTTTAATTTTCCCTCACGGTACACAACAGAAGTTGATAATATATACATCACTGGATAGAGGAAGTCTTTCTCTACAAACCTACGTGGATGTGGATCAGCTGGCCTAGCACGCTGCCTGTCTTACCACTTCGTCCCATAAGAGTTTTTGACGCAGAAGTTCAGTTTACCTGGCTACAAAAGCGTTTTTCTCCTACAGACACTAATAGAGCTTTTGTATAGAATTAAACAGTCTACAAAACCATGTAAATATGTTTTACGATGGTTTAATGAATCGCTGGTGAAATGTGTCATGGTTGGGGGTAGGTAGTAAATATATCGCGTTAATCATTGACGGAGTAGTCGATGGACACGTTGTACATATTGCACCTAATGAGTTTGTACCGGCTTCACAATAATGCCTTGCGGATCTTTTGGAGAAGATACGTGTTGATAGTTCAGTGTTACAGATTTACAAAAAGTTAATATAATTTATAGGATAAATGTTCGACCACTAATATACATAACAGAAAGAAGAACAGTTATATGAACAAAAAAAGATAAATACAAAAACGTATAGTTAATGACATTGAAGGGGAACAAAAATTGTTTATGATAGAAAAAGCGACATATGTAGAACACACTACATACTAATGATTTAATGAGAGAAAAAAGTATAAGTATAAACTTAAATTTATGGTTTTTTCAATTTTTTGCATCAAATCTGAATTATTGAACTCGTATGATAATATTGTTAATTGTGTTTCGTGAATGTTTTTTCCTAACGGAATCAGTTTTTCAGTGCGCTTAACTTCCAAGAGACATGAAGTAGTATCGTTACATAAACTTTCACCTTTACAGATATGATGTGTGCACACAAACTTCACACGACAGTCGGTACGAATAATGCCAATTTTTGGAACTGATAGATCAAATAATGTGTTGTTATTATTTGCCTCTTGATAAGTTATACTTTTGAATGTTGATACAGTCCATACATGTTTTTCTATGTTTATACTAACAGGAGGATACATTTTTTTCTATTCTATATAACAATCTCTTGTTTCATTGCACTTTAGTATTCCTCTAACATTTATTTTTTATTACATTAAATTCAACTATTGGAATTCTGCAATAAGACTTTTGATCAATAAAACATTCTTCACCACTAGGATGACATTCGGTATATGTGTCATTGTCACCAAAAGCAATTAGCTTAGGTAAATCAACTACCTCAACAGCTGTAGATTTAGTGAAAAAATAGGATATTGGGATGACAGAGTACAAGTGGTTAACGATACTACTGGGAGACGAAACAGAAGTTTGGATGGCAATATTGCCAAAATTCCAGAGAAAATCATATTTTACTTGAGAATGATCCATTACTTCTGTTATCAACGATATTGAAAATATCGGAAAACGTTTTGGTTAACTCAGATGGTTTTGCTGATTCAAATGTGATTTTCTGATGAATTAACCTACTAGAAACTAAAGTGGCTGTGGAATAAGTTTTTTTTGGGATTAAATGTTTAATTTTACTATAAATAAATTCTCTTACAATAGCTTCATCATGAATATCAAGAAAGTCAAGATTTAACTAAATTTCGTGAATACGTTTAAGTGATTTGCTTAGCGCTTTATAATCGTTTTTTAATTCACGATGAGTATTCAAAACAGTCATCTATGTCTTGTTGAATCTGAAAAAAATTCCACTAAATACATTATATATTGATTGTCTCAACTCATTTATATCAGTGCTAAGTCGGTTCGAAACATTTAACACGTTCACTGTCCATGTATCATATATGATCCATTTGATATTTTACCATGGAAATTGTATCAGATATGATACACTTGCAAGCTTAGAGTAAATATGATTTTTTGTTGTGAACGTGAAACGTGCTCAAAAACGTACTATAGGAGCGTGTGAGGGAAGATTTGTAATATGTATCACATGTAAATGAACTCCATGCTCAAAAATTAAATGAATCATACATGATACATGGACAGTGAATGTGTTAACATAGACTGAGAGGCATCCATGATCACATCATCAATCAAATGATGAGAAAGTATTTGCTTATAACGATATTTCTTCCGTAATACTATTTCTGAATCATTATCTGTGGTAACGTAACCGGAATTTCTTATCCGGTAAACTTAAAATATCGAATAAAGTATTTAATCGATAAAATTTGACTTCAGTTATCAAACGTTTACGTAACTTCTTCAGGTAGAATAAATTCACCGGTACGCATATAATCTAAAATTTCAGCAAATAAATCACTATTCCGATCAACAAACAAACGTCCACATTCATCTTTTTCCAATTCCCATCCACGTGAGAATAATTCTGTAAAAAATGTATTTGACTTTTCTTTTGTTAATGTTCCAATTGTTGTTTGAAATTCACGTCCACCAACATTTAGCATCACTGCGTCATCATGCATAGTGGTTTTCTTCTTCAACAAAGACAACGGCGGTAGTTCATTCAGCAGATTTTCTTCAATATTTTTCTTAATCGATATCGCAAGATGATTTAAGTCTTCACATTGTTTTAGTAATAATGATTTTGACATTTTGTAATTATGGACAGGATAAATGATTTTTTTGAAATAATAGATAGAACACAGAAGGAAGGATCTCCACGTTATATGTTAGTGAAATAGAAACGTTGAGTTATGATTATCTTTTACGGACAGATATAATTGCTTGCTATACGTAATTTTATTGTGAAAAATATCGCTTATGTAATAGGAAGCACAGACCTGGTTCACTACTTTCTTTTTCCTTTTCTGCATTGAGGTTGACAGATTAGATCGATTCTGTGTTGTTGTTGTTTTTCAATGGACAGAAAAGAAAACGATAGCATGTTAGTAAAAGATGTCACCACTATACCACACTACTAAAAGTGAAAATGCATTCTTTCTGTTAGTTCCTGGTTCTTTTTTTACCATTTTATTATGACGACAGTAATATGAGCGGTCGGTTCGGAGGCTGAAAACAAAACATTTGCTGAAGTTATTTTAACAACTATAGATATCAGCGCCCTATCCTTTCCTGTACAATCTGGCAGTGTAATTGCGTGTGTATAAGTTATCATCAATGAATAAAAGGAGATAAAAGTAATACAAATAAGTAGAATGCACAGACAATACTAAACACAACACCTTTGATGATCAAGATGAGAAGAAAATTGTGTAATAAATAGCTCATTTATGCGTCATGGGTTACACATTAATTTCTCATTTTTAGATCATTTCCTCGGTTTTCTTACTATCAATAAATATGAAAACATACTAAAATGATATTTCTAGCCATTACAGAATGCACAAACTTTTCTCACTTTACTATGAATGACAAGCTGTAGACCTTGGTTTACTATGACAATCTTACAGAGAAACCTTAGCCAACCGCTTCAGCCGTCTGGTGAACATGAAGATTTCAGAGCAACTTTAGATTGTACGTAGAAAAACATGCGGAGATTTTCAATAACTTTTGACACTCTAGACTCATTCACTACTGTTATAGAACTCTGTAAGAATTTGAGATATGCTCTTTACTCGACAATGTTTGTTTCTGTCCAAAGGATGAGAGAAGTTAGCTTGAATTGATTTTCTGTTTTATCTGAGCGTTTCGAACGTTGAATATCAATCTGGCAATCAATTATCGTTTTTGAGCGACCTGCAGCAGGAGAAATGTGCTCAAATTTCGTTTAACAAAGCTGACACACGTCTGGATGTGTCTTATTGAATGGGATATAATTGCTGTTTATATAGTACGTTCTTTTGCGAAAACATTAATCGTATTCTGAAATCACTAGCCTATGGTACGATCGAACACAATACACAACAGAGGTGGGCGATGAACTGTTTTTAGCTTCCCCGGGGGCTTCGCCTCGTGCAGTTCTTGCCTCGTCATCGCCCCGTCTCTCATCAAGTTTTCAAAAATTCTTCCTTGCGTGCTCTTGCAAGGATCCTCGTCCACCGCCCACCTCCGATACACAATTGATTTCAAGTTTGAATTTGTTTCGTTGTGATATTGTTTATACAGAAAATCCGAGTTATCCTAATTCATCCTTTCATTGTTATCATTTCGTAACAAAATGTTAAATGACAGCGAATAAAAATTATCAAAAAATGATTGTAAGTCAAAACCAACAAATACGTCTTCATGTGCGTGTGTAAGCGAATTTAATAGAAAGTAGTTGATCTTTTTCTATTCGTCTCGTAATTCATTTCCCAATGATATCTCTCGTCATTACATTATTCATCATGATAAAGACATTTTGGTTTGTCAAATAAGAATTTCAGATCATAACAAGACGACCAGAAACTGATAACTCATGATAATATGTAGTTAGACAAAACCTTGCGATTTTGGTACATGCAGTTGATATGTGATCTCTAAACGTATGGCTATTCCTCTCTGTACTCTCGTATGTTTCGTATACGCCATCTATGTGAGTTTTTAATTTTGTTTATATTTCAGATTAACAAGCATTTCTAGAATCAATTAGATAATCCTTTTCTGTTATTGACTCACGTCTACTGATAGCCGTTGACTTAATATTTCATCGACAGACAGAGAGTTATTTCGACAAAAAAAACCTCTGTAAACTCATTACTATCAGTATTTATCACTGTGGTTGATCTAAGGGGGAAACGACCTCCTGGAATAGTGTACACACTTATAAATGACAGCCATTTAAGGTCACTTAAACACTTTAAGTGTCACGTTTATTCTCCTATTTTGAGCAAGCTTTGAGCGATAGTGAGTGGTTGCTAATTTTTCCTCATTATGGATAGGAAAGTAACAAATTTTGCGGTTTGACCAAAATTTACATGGTATTAAATGTTTATGCTGCTTTATAAAAAGAAGTCTAGAAGTGTATAAGATCTTTTTTCTTGTATACATTTTAATGTACATACATGTGGTAGGACTATTAGATCAGAACCTCCCACCAATGCCTAATTAATATTCTTCCATGATACTTGTCCGTGTTCAACTTTAAACGTTCGGTTTTGTTTTAACTATTTTATTCTTCTCAAGTAAAATTATCAGAATTATTTATAAAAAGAAAAGAGAGAAAACAGTCAAAGGAATAACTCCTAATCATAACGTTGTTTATTAAGAAAAGGATACAACAAACTTGACTTAGCGAGCAGACCAAGGTCTATGGTGCAGAGTCAACCAAACAATCTAACGAAGAAGTAAGACAACTACATAGATAGATTGT